CTTTAACGTTAATAGTGGAATTATCCAAGTGAATGTGCGTGGTTGTTACATATACATGCAAAGTTTCGTCGTATCTTTCATCTATAAAATCTTTTTGGGCAAATTTGCGGATAAGGCCAGATTTACCAACTTCCCTTTTACCATCCACACCAACTAAAAAATAAAACGGTTTAATATAGTTAATAAAGTTCATACGAGAGTTATAATATTCTGGTGTATCTTACTTCTTAAAAAAAAATCATAATTATTATCCATTATCGGAGAATAGTCGTGACTTCTAAAATATAAGACTGCATCTACAGTCATCATTATTTATATGTTTAGGTTCTACCATAAATAAACATAATATTTTAACGTCGTGCGTAGAACCTCAATTACTTTATACGGAATAAATATCTGGTGATGCGTAAGTTAAATTCAGTAGTGGCTTATTTTAAGTTCAGCCGTACAGTTTATGAAATTGAGAAGTCAGTAAAGTAGTATTATCCATTATCCATTTGACACAAGGTTGTGACGATCATTGGGTGTGGCTAATAAGCAATATTTAATATAATTATTTGGCTAATGCTTACTTGCCACACCGAAGATTCGTCACATCTTCATGTCAAATGAAAGAGGAGACCTAATCCTTTACAAGTAAACCCTTTTTTTATGTTCAGGGTTAGGGCAAGTACGAGCATTGTTCTTTTTTCGTTTGAGGTTATAGGAAAATTAGGTTTGTTTCAATGAATTTTTTTCTTTTACAAACCGTACGTACTATCATGATTTCCACATTCCCGTCCCGAATTGCGTACTAATTTACTATTGACACGAGTAAACGGCGAGTCAGTCGCTCTAAAGTTCGGGATGACGTGTTACTTAGGAATGGCTTAGCCGAAAGAGGCGTTTAGATTTGTTGAGTTGGGAATTATGATCGTAGGTATGTCTTATTTACTTGTATAGGGAACCGAATAATACACAATAACGACTTTCCACTTGGACTATACATGTCGTAGAAACTATTTCGGCAACGTCGAAATAGTTTCTACGACATGTATAACTTGGACTTCAAACGGGAGCAAAGCTAGTCTTAATAAGTTTTCTCGAAAATTTTAGTTTCTCGAGTGCTATAACATTAAAAAAAAGTTCCAGCGTCACTATGATTGAGATTACAGTTGTATAATTTTCTAATTAGTAACAATATATTGGATACTACATAATAAAACATAATTAGAAAATTATGCAACTGCATCTCTATTATGACAACATTGGAGTAAATAATTTTCTAAACAAATTGCTGTGAGTAGTTTATTTATCTGATTAATTGGCCAAGCTACGTATTTTAAATAACTTTAAAAGACTAATAGAGAGACTTAACTATCCTAAGCTTTATAACACATCTTGGGTTTCTACAGATAAATACCGCATTGCCATCATTATGATTTTTGATCAACAAGTCATGTATATTGTTCAAGCCTTCTGAAAGTATAATTCAGAAAAATTTCAGAAATGTTACTTTTACTTCATGACAATAACTTACAATTGAAATGCAAGCAAATACTTAGATGTGCATTATCATATATGCACACATGATTGTACATATTGTTAAAGGCAAATCCGACCATAGGACCATGAGGAATAGAATGTGTAATGACCCCGAAACGCCCCATGAAAAACTGTCGTACTATGATACCCACGACCCAAGACAAATCAAGCTCTTCATTAAGTGATGGTGTCAATCCATTGAAGAAAAAGTCACCTGCCCGATTTTGAATCCAACTGTCAAGGTAATATTACCTTGACAGGTAAAGTTATGGTTGTGTCAATGCATCATCATAGGTTGGGTTATGTGCTGTTGTGAAAATATTAAAAGTTCAATGAAAAATGTTAAAGTAATGACGGATGAATTGTAAGAAAAAGGGAAATTGTTATTAAAAAAAAGAAGAAAACAGTCTATGATTATGAGAAAAAGAGTGTCAAAACCATGTCTCAAGTTCCTTTCTTTTTCTTCAAAATTGTTCTATAAAAATGGATCAAATTTGTCCTCTTGTAAATAAGTAGAGTACCTTCTCACCCTCTTGTAATCTAAGAACTATCCTGTAAACACAAACTGAATCACCTTTGCCTTGTCTTAAAACTAAATAAAATAAAAATTAATAAAGCTCTAGTTGTTAATTTTAAATAAACAATTAAATTAAATAAACTATTATGCTCTTTTAAACTCTCTTGATAATAATCTCAAGGTTACCCTAGATTAGTATCAAATCAAATCTGCCTCATCTATCTTGAGTGACATTATACAACATCGACAAATTTAAAGTGACAATTCATTACATTTTTCCTTGTCCCAATAGTACTGTTCTCAACCTTGTTACTCATATCAATATGCATAATATGATACTTCAACTGTCTATCCTTAACTTCACTCTGTTATATCAAAATTTAATGAATTACTGGTTCTTGATTGTCTAAAACTAGTAATTCATTAATATTTAATATAACAGAGTGAAACTTATACAGTATCTAATTTAATTGACAATAATGTAGTTATATAGGTTCTATATTTTTATATATGTTTAATTATTTATCCTTCACCAAATATTAGCTTATCTAACATTCTTAACTAATAATCCTTATAACCTTAACTATACTTCTTATTTTAATGAAATTCCTATTAAAATTCCTATTTGACACTCTATTCAAGCTATATACCAAGCTTATATTATAATACTTTGAACATCTCAACATTGTTTTCAACAATGGTCTATTATTACATCTGATATCAACTGGGAACCTACATGGTTTTACATCAACAATAACCAAAAAATTTCTAATTTTGTTTACAGCTTCTACTTATCTATTCTGAAAACTTTTTGAATTAAAATTCTTATAGATAAACTTCTTATTCTCCTTCATTTTCCTTTTCCTATTATTAATACAATTAAACTAGCTCTCTATTTTATTAAATTACCTACCTATTAACCCAAACCATTTATCATTTAATCTCTAATTTTCTTAATAGTATTTTAAATACTACCAATCTTGATATGCTTACCAATCTTGTTTCTAATTTATATACTGAAATTCTTACTCTTAATAGTTTCAAATTGCATAATTCTTCATATATATCTTCTCTTATTTCTATTCTATCTGGTTTAGTTCCTATTAATCATATTTCTACTATTTACAATACTTCTATTTCTTATCGTACTGCTACTACTCTTTCTATTAAACTTCTTCTTCACTTAAATTAACAAATATACAAACAAATATGGATTCTATACTCTATCTCATGTTCTGTACAGTTCCACATTACACTCTCTACTAAGTTAACTCATAGTTACTCTCCTAGTCTACTTTTTTTTTCCATTTTAATTCTACAAATTATTACTAAAATTGATCTTTGGACTATCTAATAAATTAAATATCATACCTCTCTTTCATATATTATTACTCAAACCCAAATTTAGATAAGTCTTGGCTATTCTTATAGGTTAGGTCACAGATAAAATGTCTGAGTCTTTATTCTTCATATATAATTTAAAAGCAAGATTTTCTTTATAAACACTTCAATTGAATTTAATAAAGTTAAAGATATGGCCTTACCATTAATATTTTTAAAAAAATATTATCTATTCTTTTATAACAATATTATATTAATTTAGAAGATGTATATGCCAAATTTTTTATTAGCATCAAGATATCAAAAAAAATATATAATTATTATTATTATTATTATTATTATTACTAATAAGATTATGCTTCTTAGGGGTGTGGCAACCTAGTGAAGTGGATAGGTTGTCAACCTCCAAGTGGCAGGTCTAGAGTTCAAATCTCAGTGATAGCAAAAATTTGCAATTCTTTCTGTGTTATGGCTAACTGTCTTCCGTGATTGGTTGGGATAGGATACCTGTAACCCATGTCATACCAGCCTGACTGGAAGGTCTAAGGCACTTGTACAACGTT